TTTTAAACTAAAGAACATATTTAAAATTTTATTATTATTTAACAGGAACAGTTTACTTATGTTTGGATACGCCTATAAACTTTTTCAAGTGATTTTGAATCTAAAGATACATCTGATTTAGGGAAAACGACCCCAAATGATGCCCTGTTTTGCCAGTGCATTTATGTCGCGCAGACAATGTCGATGCGGATGGATGGTTGGTTAATAGTTCCGCAAACAGACGCTTTAGACGTTATCCAAAAACGAAAGTTGCAACGCGGTGGAAAGATGGGGCGGCAGATGAGTCAGCAGAGTGCAGGCGGAACTGGACGGGGCAAATCGAAGTGGCGCCGCAGTTGGGGCCATTATGTGGCAATTATGCTAGCAACCCCCCTAAATGTTTCGACTGGGGGAGTTGGGAAAACCAACCCCGGGCGTTTGACGCCAGTCGCACGCCACGACGTCGTCCGGCGACCACAAGTTTGCTTTTTAACAACTCCATGGAGTTACCCCCGAAAAGTAATCGTTATCCAATGCCGCCCCCTTGTTGCGAACGGAAAACAAACTTTGCCCCATGTTTGTTGTCAACAAATATCAGCTCTAATTTTTATGCTGCGTGCAGTTCCGCCGAGTTTGAGAGTTCGCAGCTGCACACAAGTTTGGAAATCACTGGGCTTACTGGCCGCACGACTTATGGCAGTGACTAGCAGATAAACAGATACAAAAGTATCTACAAGTTGTCCCCGTCAAGCGACAGCATGTGTGTCTTGTCGGCCTGCCTGCAATTTGTGCAGCTTTTGTCGCAATGTCAAGAAACTTTTGCAGCTTCCCCTTGTTCACTTCCCTTTTCCAGCCCCAAAAATATTGTATAACCCCCACGCAGTTAAGTTGTTTTGTCATTCTATGTGCATAGCATTTAGGGATCAAGACATCGAGAATTTATGCCCAGAAATGGTAATGGTAATATACGAAACGCATTTGCGACCCTGTACTTGGCTCGGATTTTGGTCTCCATCTATCATGTGGTGCAAAGCTGTTTCCCAGAGCTGTCACAAGATAGCCCAAGCGTATCGCATTGTTTTAGTTGCCTGGGATTGCCGAAAGTCAGTTCCCAACTTTAGTTTTGCATTAACTTAATTCAGTCTAATTTATACTCGAAGGCACTGGGAGAAAAAAGAATCACTTTATTAATATAATGGGGATTGTATGAGACGTAAAAAGTGATACTGTTTTTATTCCGTGTGAGTTCTAAGGAGTAGTTTTTTAAATTCTTTCACAAAATGTTTAATTTTATTGTTGCCATTAGACTTATTTTAAGTCAGTCATTTATATTTTCGGTGTATCTCCCCTTCAACCCCCCCATTTTTTAACCTTTCTCTGTCAAATTTATACTCAACTTCACGTGGAGATAAAAGAATCACGTTATTAAATTATCGGGTTTGGATGAGACATAAAAAGTGATATAGTTTTTATTCCGAATGAGTTCTAAAGAGTATTTTTTTTAAATTCTTACACAAAATATGTAATTTCATTGTTGCCATTAGACCTATTGTAAGTCAGTCTTATATTTTTAAAGTGTACCTCCCTTTCAACCCCCCTATTTTTTTAACCTTTCTCTGGGGGTGTACGTGCGTGCGGCAATTATGCATGGGGGAAAACTTTGCAGACACTTGAGAACTCCGGGCACAGGTCAATGCAGCTCAATTAAATGGCTTGTCCAAAGGCTTTTGTGTGTGGAGCCAATTGACTCCAGTGAAAGGACGCCTGTTTTGGGGTGAAGTAGAAAAACATGTCGTAGGGGGCTGGTTAAAAAAAGAACTCTGGCGCCGTCTATCGAATAACATTACCCAACCTACCGAGTTTAATGGGGAATTTCAATCAAGCGCCGGCTTTTGCATGCCGTTCGTTAAGTATCTTCAAGTGCTCCCAACTCGGGCCATGTGTAGTCGATAGATACATTTGATGTGGCCACTGCACTCACCCACTTGTTTGCTCCCCTCGTCTATAAAGTCATATCTTATCGGCTTATCTGGAATGCCAGAGACCAGAGACGAAAACACAGACGAGCGACTGTTGTTGTTCTGCTTGACGTCGTGTTTGGCTGCCATAAAGATACTTGAATTGAACTTATTGTAATTAATACGAGTGCGATTCGCCGCAGTATTTTCAATGCCAGCCGATGGAAATGTATCTCCTCTGGCTGGGCATTTTGGCATGCCTTTTGCGGTTTATCAATAGAATAGGAATTTGTGAAGCCCCAGCAAGGCTGGCATGTGTGCGGAAAAGCGGTGGAAAACCCACCCGGAAGCTCAGACCTAATGCGTTTTTGCGGGGCGTGTGCAGCACATTTGACAGGCCAGCAGATACAAAGATACATTAAAACCAATTCCATATCCATTAGCCGAAAGTGGAGGGCGGCGCCCTTAAGTGTTTTCAATTAATAACCAAACTCACAGTTGGCCAAAATGTTTTGATAAATATTTCGATGACAGTTGGGAATAACTGATTTAGTTTCTTGAACTTCGGCTTTAAGCCTCATTAAATTTGACTTATTCTTTAGTTTGCCTACAAACTACGTTAGCCAATAAAGAAATGATAAGTTAAATGTGCTTTTCCTGGAACTGAAAGTACTACAAATTTGCAATCTTAACTACAAGAATAAGAACTTAATGACTTAATGGCTTACAAATAGTAAATGTTGTAGAGAACTAATGGCGTCTGCCTATAAATTAATTATTTCAAGGGGAATATTTGTAAAGTCTGAAAATTCTAGTATATGAACATGTTAATGAGTGAATACATTTTGAACAAATTTACACTGCTATTGGAAAAACAATGATAAAATTAATAGGTTTGCTATTAGTATAGTTGCATAAACTTTTAATGTCAACATGTGTTCAAAACATTAACAAATAATCTATTCTATAAATCATTGATTATTAAAAATTCAATAAAACCAGCCTGCACTCTAGTTAATTAAAAAGGTAATTGGATAAGCAACTGTCATTATTCATAAAGAAATGTCTGAAATACTTTCCAAGGCTGGACAACTTAACGTCATTGTCTTAATCAATTTCCCTCAATCTTAAGCGACTGGACTGTTTGCCTGCTCCCAATAATAATAATCTAATGCCAATCCATCAACACTATATTGCAATTCCATCCATCAACACCATATAGAACCGATTCCGCCATCAACCGACTCGTCGACCCATTTCCAGACACTTATTAAATCAACAACACAGCAACAATTCCTCGATGAGTTCGCCTATAACTCAGGTTTTTGCTGCTGTTTTTGCTGCCGGTCTGCTCTGTCCAATCCATTGCGCAAATATTACAAAGTCAAAGTCCAATAAAGAAAAGCCAAAGACGATGGAGACCTAGAACCAGACGAGGAGAATCGAGGGGACCAAACTGGAGTCGCAGCCAAAGGCCATCTTCCACTTGGGGTCTTTACCCAGAATTTTGACTCGCTTTTTGCTGCTGTCTGCATGCTTTGTAATTTTTATTGCTATTTCGCTAAATTGTTGTCAATTGAGTTGAGATTGGCGCAAGTTTGGAGCATGTGTTGTTGCCAGTTTTAAGACTTTTTTACTTATTTGTGTGCTGCCAAAGTTTACTGTTTGATTACAAACAACTGATGGTGAAGCCGAAGGGACCAATAAATCCTTAAAAAGCTTGCGAATATTTTTAGCAAGCACATAAAACTTTAAACTGCACAGACAAATATTAACAATTTCAAAAGGATGTTTTGGTTTATTAAACCCAGAAGAAATTATAAATCTGTTTACTAACTAAATACTTTTTTGTATTTCCCTTGACTTTCTCGCCTTTGTTATATAAAAACGGATATACAATTTGAATGAATTGTATTTTTGGGTGCTAAAAATCAAGTACAGACATTAGACATTGTTAAACGACGTGAAGAAATCATCGACGATTCGCTGAAATTTTGATTGGCATTCTCGCCGACCATTAAATTTTGTTTTGCACCAGCGAAACTGCGGCGCAAAAAGTCTTGTTTGCCACAAAAATAGATGGGTATCTTGATAAATAAATAAATAATACTAAAGTAAGCTAGCAAGCGATGCAATGGCAAACGATACTTTTGTTTAGACTTGACAAAGGCCGCAGGAAGATATAAAACAGTAGCCGAGAGGCAGCCGAATTCTATGCCAAAATCATGAAACAAAACATTTTTTTTTGGGTCATCGTCAGCCATTTTGGCAGTGGCCATCTGTCCGTTTTGCAACATGTCGCATGTGGCCAGAAAAAAAATAATCATTTTTCATAGGCCACCTTTCCCGTACTGGACTGCGTTCTTTTGTGACTGTCGAAATGCTAATTTGCTGTCAGCACCCGTGAATATTCGCAATTTGTTGACCCTTCTTCATGCTCGTGCTGTTTTTTTCCGCAGTTCTAATATTCTGCCCGCTGGGTTAATAAACTTGTTGCCGCACGACACGGCTCATAAATAAACACTTCTATTGATTTAGTACATCGACTGGGCCCACAAAGCCAATCGCCGTTCTGCTTCTTTTTTGGCGAGTGTTTACAAGACTCTTAAGCCGCTTAAATGAGCCCCAAGTCGTTTCTTCTTTTCCGCACAAATACTTAATATTTATTTTGATTATACAAATACTTAATATATAGGAATATCGAACAATGGCCAGCCAACAAAAGATGGCTGTGGGCGGAGCTCCGAGTTCAAAATGATTGTTATTGCTGTTGACTCTTCAATGGAAATCATAAATGAATGAACACCTGAAGAAATGATACTATTCATCTGGATAAATATATAGGTAGATATCAAAATACCAACTTCTAAGTTATAATATCTAGTTAGATACCAAAATCCACATACTAACTTTGTTTGGATTTATTTTCTACCAATGTTTGAGTGTCGAAACCCCCATTTTTCTCAGTGCCCTGTCTCTTATTAATTCATATGCTTTGTGAACTGGGCGCGTCGGGTGTTTGGATGTGTTATGGGTATTTAAGGTGTTGGCTGGGACACTCACATGATTCAGGCGTGCTGCGATCTTGGCATGCTCCTCCTGGTAGGCTTTTCGGGCCTTTCGCTTATCCTGTGAAAGATGGCTCAACTTATCGCAGACGACTTCCAGCTGCTCGGCGTTGAACTTGAACTGTTTGGCCTGCTGGTCCAGCTCATCCAAGTAGGACCGCCAGGATTTCGTAATTAGGCTGCCTGCAAAAATCAACAAGATAGCGCTCTTTAGTACAAAAGCACTTGCTTATCACACTTTTGTAATAATTATACATATCCCCATAAAAAATATATTTTCCAGGAAAGAATTGTTTGTTTATTTTGCGTTTACAATTTTATCCTACATATATATTTTATTGCTTGTCAAACTTAAGAAGCAAAAATATATATAGACAAGAAAGGAAAGCTAACTTCGGGCGGAGCCGAAGTTGAAATACCCTTGCAGAATATTCTGCAAATTATATTCTCCAAAATCATTCATATAATGCCTTCTTAATTCTCATAAAAAATCCCAACTTCCTAACTTTAAAAACACCAAAGTTATGGCATTTCCAATCGTTCAGTTATATGGCAGCTATAGAATATAGTCGGCCGATCCTTATGAAATTTGATATGTCGGATTGATTAGGCAAAAATAAAACCCATAGAAAATCCCAACTTCCTAACTTAACAAACACCAAAGTTATGGCATTTCCGATCAATCAGTTATATGGCAGCTATAAGATATAGTCGGCCGATCCTTATGAAATTTGGTAGGTCGGATTAATTGGCCAAATGTAAAACCCATAGAAAATCCCAACTTCCTAACTTTACAAACACCAAAGTTATGGCATTTCCGATCAATCAGTTATATGGCAGCTATAAGATATAGTCGGCCGATCCTTATGAAATTTGGTACGTCGGATTGATTGGCCAAATATAAAACCCATAGAAAGTCCCAACTTCCTAACTTAACAAACAGCAGAGTTATGGCATTTCCGATCAATCAGTTATATGGCAGCTATAGGATATAGTCGGCCGATCCCGGCCGTTCCGACTTATATACTGCGTGCAAAGGAAAGAAGGGTGTGTGCAAAGTTTCAACTCGATATCTTTAAAACTGAAAGACTAGTTCGCGTAGAAACAGACAGACGGACAGACAGACGGACAGACGGACAGACGGACAGACGGACAGACGGACATGGCTATATCAACTCAGGAGGTGATCCTGATCAAGAATATATATACTTTATAGGGTCGGAGATGTCTCCTTCACTGCGTTGCACACTTTTGACCAAAATTATAATACCCTCTGCAAGGGTATAAAAATGTGAAACGATGATTATACATATATTTTCTGAATTGACATTCAAATGGCTGTTGTATGATAAAAACTATTATTCCAAGAAATATATAAACTTGATTTTTTATTTCTGAAATTAAAAGCCGAGTAAATTGCAATTCATCATTATTTTATCTGCGAATTCTTGTCATATATTCGCTTTACAAAAACTTTAAAAAATATTTTCTTTGTTGATATGTTTATATACTGGTCTTCTTAAAAGTTACATAATGTTCGCGATAAATAATTCTCCAAAAGCCCTTTATCTAGAGATGGGTTTTAGTAAATATTATTCAACAAATTATAATGTTTTTCAACTTTATTTAAGTGATAGCAACAACTAACATCTCCATTTTTAGTCCCCATTATACAGATAGACTATATCTTAATTAGACACAGTCTTAATGGCCGTAAAACCGCAGCTAATCCACAATTTACCCAGACTATGACTCATTGGAGTAATATCCGCTCAACAGTTGGGTAAAAGTGCAATCGAAAGCAATGAATCACTTTTCTTAAGCCCGATTTGCTTTAAAATGACGCAAATACGTTGTCCAGATTTTGGAAAAGTATTTTGCTGAGCAAGTCGGAAACATAATACCCACGTTTCTTTTTGGCCAAACCGTTTGCGCTTCGCTAAGCTGCAAAGTCTTAAGTTTAGACTCCAAACTCCGTTTGGCTGCAGTCAAATCGAGGGATTCAAGTTCATGGTCAAGGTGAGAGGTAAATCAGCCGGTGGAACTGGAGATATACATATACATATGTATATTCGGGCTATATCAAATGGCCGAACTAAATCATTTGGCTACGCTTTTGTGCACTGGCTGTGTGCGTGCATTCGCATTCAGCGGAAACGTTTGTTTGGCCATGTAAACAGCAACGAAAACATTTTCCGAGCGTAAAGCAAAAACACTGACACCGCCTGCAAATTATAGCAATTTAATGTGTTCTAGGGGAGCAAGACAGCTGCACTTTGTCGACACTTTGATGAGCTCCACTCCGGAGCTCTGGCCAGGCCAATTGGCCAAGAGTCCTGGCCGCCGGATGGCGATGCGAATGCCACCCAGAGCACGGTAGTTGAAAACGATTAGCTTGTCTGGCGATTATCTCGAGTCGTTTGAAATAAGACCTAACGCGTATTATTCACTTGGCAATGCGATCAAGTCACGCGATTTGCCACTGCCCAGTTTTCCTTTGCAGACTGCCAAATTCACACCGAAAAAAGTTCAGGAAGGGCTGCAGATTTGGCTGGCATTTAATTCTCTACCCTTGCGATAAGATTTATCCCATCTTATTGACGCCTCGCAGTGCCATCGTACCATCCATCCACCAGCTTATCGACACTGGCCTTTTAGTTATAACTGCCGGACATTTACCCTGACTAATGTGAGATACGCTGGTGGATGCTGTGACCACACTGGCCACCCAGCAAATGTGGTGACTAATGCCCGAAGGTCAATTGAGTTCGAGAATCCCACTGCATTACTTGGTCCATAAATCAAAAAATTGTAGTTCTTTGAACATATGTCTAGAAAATAGTATTAGGGTATCTAAGAACTTTTTTAAACATTTTGTGTGGAAGAGACTTTTAACTCAAATTATTTGATATTTACTTGATTTTACCTATTTAAAGGATTATCTTTTTGTCAATAAAAATACACTACTAAATAAAATAAATAATATCAGTCGAACCGCAGATATCATTGGTATAAAAATTAAGATCAAATTTAGAAATAATTAAAATCTACTATCTCTTACTAGTAAGACATAATTCATAATAAATAATATATGTTCAGATTGAGACTGCCTAAAGACTAAAGCAACAACTTCTATCAGACCAAATTCCATGAATGCAGTTTAAAACAATTTTAAATTTCGAAATCCATTGCTTACAACGCAATTTAAAAAGCTATAATGACTTTTAAGCTGGCACACAAATTTCGTGGAAATTTAAATAAATAATAAATAAAAAAAAAACGAAGATAAAAAACCAGAAAAATTGGGAAGTACCCCGAAAGAATTTCAGACTACTGGGCGCTTTTAGCAGGCACAAGTTTGAGAATATCAAATCACTTTTAGAAAAAAGCTGGTAATTTATCTAGTAGAATTTTAAATAAAAGAGTTCAAAATCGAAAGATATTGGCAAAAGGCCAGTGCACTTCAGTAGGTATCATTGACCAAATAATTAACTGGCCAATCTTATCGGCTTCGATAGCGAGTCTTACCTTGCATTTCATCAGCCCGATCGATTTTGAGACCCTGCTGGGCCACGGCTGTCAGGCTGATTGCGTATTCCTTGTCGCACTTGGCCTTCATCTGGATGGATCTCTTCATGGTCTCCATCAGCCGGAGCTCGGCATCCTGGCGGACGATCAGCGCCTCGTGGGCGGCCCGACTTTGCAGGGCCGAGGAGAAGCCCATCTTGGACTCGATACCACCTATTTAGGTTGCGGCTCTCTGCGAGATATATATACGATATGGAAGTGATTCAGTACGGTTGTTATCGGACGTAAAGGGCGGCCATATTCGGGGAGAGCGGACTGCAGTCAGGGGAATTGCACAAGAAAACACAAGAAAAAACACAGCGGACATGTGGCGAACACTTGTTGCATGGCAATTTTCGTGGGGGTTTCGCTGGCGTTGCTCTTTATCGCCTCACTAAAATTAATTATTTATGTCACACACTTTTTTTTTGAACATTTTTTTCCAAAATAAACTTTCACATGCGTTGACATTTCTTGGTTTTTTCCGCTTTGCCTGCATATGTCACGACATTTGCTAATTACACACAATACGATCCCCGTCGCGGCTTTTGATTAACGACTTAATTCGAGTCACTGGCATATACTTTTTATCCGCTAATTAACGCATTTTCCGCTCTCACCCAAACCGACACTTGCACACACGGACATCCATGTGTATTTCCTTTTTTATATTTTGAATGTATTTTGAATGCAACAGTTGTCTTCACTTGAACTTTTCCCCAAGTATTTTCCAAAGCAAAGCGAGCCAAGAGCTGCGGCGAAGTTGCTGCTCCTGCTGCTGTACTGGTGTGGTTGTTGTTTTGTTGTTTTGGATTCAAAGAAAAAACTTGTTTTTCCCGCTTGTTGGGCGAGCAAACAAAAATAAACATTGCCCCGAGGGAGGGGGCGGGGCAGGAGGCAGGGGCGAAGTCAATAAGGAAACACAGCGGCAGAAGGTGTGTGCGGCAAGTACGTGTATCTCAAAGTTACACAAGAAGAAAGAGCAGCCTGATATGAAATCAGTTTAGTTTATAAAGTTGATAACAAGATCATTTCTAGTTTTGTTTGCGTTCGAAACAAATTCGAACTTCGAACTGAGTTGGCAAAAATAAATTAAATATTTTTCAATTTAATTAAGATCAAAAAGATTTCCAGCTTTATACATATGTTTTCGCTATAATAATAGCCAGTTTAGACATTTATCTGCGACAATATTGACCATGTTTTTCAAATTAATATCCTAATTTCTTTCAGTCTACACATGGATGCGGCAGAACAACAACTTGATGCATTGTCTGTATGTGCGTGTGCAGTTGGCCAAGTCGAGTAAAACATAAACGGGTTAGGCAGCAACTAGGGGAGCATCCCCAGCCACCAGAACCAGAACGACAACAACAACAACAGCAACAACGGCGAGGAGAGTAGTAGCAACTCCACCGTTATATAAATTAAAAATGTAAATAACAATTTCAGAGGTGATCACGGAATGGATTATTTATTTTTGTTTTAGAGGGAACCACAATTTACCGCAGAATTTCTTTGCAATTAGATTCACTTGCAATTTGCGTAATCAGAGCACAGTTTTTGGCACAATCATATTTAAATATAGTCAAAGGCTTTTATCAGCGACGACGAATTTGAATTTCGGAGGCCTATCGAGATGCCTGCACTTCACATGGCCACGACTTGTGACTCGAGAATCGCGAATGGAGCACCACAGCCAAGAATATCGGATCGAATCGGGAAATATTAAAACCAAGCCCAACGCAGCGAACCGTTCGCCTCGAATGTTCAGCGGGAACTGAGCGCCGGCATAAAACCGAACATCCAAGCACTCGACCCATGCGGCGAATGAGCAATACGAATGCGGCGAATGAGCAATGCGAGTGCGGCGAGAAAACAGAGAAGCTGAGAACCGAAGAGAGAGAGTGAGAGGAAAGGCAGGAGAACCGGTTGCAGGCAACCCAGCAAACATTCTCTTGGGGTGCAAGGTTTAATAGTAGGTTCTGTTATTTTTGTTGACTTTTGTCATTTTGACCTTTTTTTCGTAAAAGATAAATCCATTACTTTTAGTATCAGGAAAAATGTAATAGTAGTATGCCGCATTTTGACTTTACCTAAAGCCAAATAAACTATTTACATTTTTAAAACTTTTATAAATTAATTTAAATTGTTATATAAGAAGAAAGAAAGCGACTTACAAAAATGTTTAAGAATGAAATGTTCTCCCTGCTATTTCCCTTTCTGTAAGTTTTCCTTTCTATCTTCTTTGAAATTTGTAAAGGAGCATCATTCTGCTAGACATCCATGACTGTTGTAATCGGAGAATTACCAAATTTCCGCACTATTAATTACACAGGTTCGGGCCTTTCGTGCGACAGCTGCCAGGATATAGAGACACCCACTCGGCCGCCCACCCACTCGGTCGCTTTGGAAACGGAAGCAGCTGAAATGTAACCAAAACAAAAGCTATGATAAATGTTATGCCTAGATCTACCCTTGACTCGTCCTCCTCCAATCACCCCCGCAACCAAAACCCATTGCCATCTCCATTTAATATTCCCCCTTTCATTGCCTGTCAGTTTCACGATAAATGTGAAAATGCATTTACGCATCAAACGCAGGCGGGCCAATAAATTCATTAATAAATGGGAAAGTGAAAAGCGCAGCAACTCGACCGCTCCTGCTGCTCCTGGTCTTTGTTGTCCTTGTGGTCTTCGATGGGTCCTGTACTGCGCATAATGCAAACACTGTTTGAAAAGTCCTGCACTGTCAGTCGCTTAAGTTCAATGCACAGAGAAATAAATATCAAATGCATTTCGTGTTCAAAAATGTTCTGATTTCAAAACTAAATGTTGAATAAATTTCTACTAAAGCAAGAATAATAGAAGAAATATACCACCCATTTACTCTATAAATTCTTTTATAGGTAGAGATAGGGATTTCTGTATTCCAGTGGTTATGCTTTTGAAATTTATAATATTTTTTAGAGTGTCAGCAATCCACTCTGTTATCCACCTCCCCAACTCCTGACTGAATAATGCATATTGAAATCGCATCGGAACTTGGTGGGGTGTGAGTTATTGTACTTTATGCCGATTAATGCTGCCGCGCTGGAGGACAAAACCCCTGACCACTGACTTGATTGCCGGGCAAATGGCGCGCCACCTCTTACCACCTTTTTTTTTTACACCAGGCCAGACGTCTCTTAGCCAGCCTGTTGCCCATTTCTGACTCTCGGCGTGCTCTTTGTTCCGCCAGCCATTCATCTCCCGTTGTTGTTTTTCACTGTGTGTTTTCTTCTGGGTTTAGGGTGTTTGCCGTTGTCTATGCACCGGGTACGGATTCGTTTCCCGGGTCCGGTCTGCTGTGTTTATTTTGGTTGGAGCCAGACGGAAAAAAAGAAGATTTACAAAGGCGCCTCAGCCTCATAAAGTATTTAGTGAGACGGCGATGCCGACACCAGGCACCTTCCTTCCTGTGTCCTCCCTGAACTGGACATGATTTGCTTTATTTGCCCATATCCCACAGGTCCCTCATCCAACTCGAATAATTGGAACAACTATAAGTAGAGAGGCGGCCTAAATATCTGCTGCTAATTTAAGCAGACATCGTGTTTTGTGATGCATAGTTGCCTCACATAAATCTCTTCGAATGTCCCATTAATGTTTGAGTTTCTTTTGCAAGTGCAATTCTTGGTGGATATAGGGCATCGGTTTTAGTTGCTTTCGAAGAACAGAAGAACATGGGAGGCAACAGTTGGCAGCCAATTGAAACTAATGAATAAATTACATATGCTCAGTAAGACAGTAAAATTGATGAGAGAAGTTCAACATGGGCCTGAACTCGTATATATGTATATGAATGAGTTTATATAGCTTGCTGAGCCAGAATGGTTCGTTAATAGGAACTCGACAAACAATAGATGACCGACTTGGAAATTGTGCAACAATGTGACTGCAATAAATTAAGGGTTTTTCCATAGGTTAAACATAAATAAAGCAACAAAATCAAAACAAAACAAATAGAAATTCATTGAGCAATGGAAATCTGGGCTGAGAGTATCTTAAATCTGAGAGCAACACTCAAAGATGGATTCATGGGCTTACATTAAACCCATAAACTATTATTAAAACTAAAAATAATACTTGACTTAAATATGCTCATATCTGGTAATAATTTATTAAGTCACTTTGAGCTTATAGAAACACCTAACAATCAGCTAATCTCTATCTCGGTGCATCTAATCTCTACTATATCTACTAATTGACATCTAATAAAAGGTCAATATGTATATCTTGTAACTTCTATTTGTTTATAAGAATAAGAATAAAACAATATTATAAATCAAATGTTGTTCATCTGAGTTATTTATCAAGAATACATCCAAAACTGAACACCTAACAATACATTTTGTAATGAATCTCTAAGTTGAAAATAATTAAAATAATAGATTTAAATGGATTAGTATTTTTAGAGACACAGCTACTTGGGATGCTGATACCTGAGTTGTCTGCCAACCATTTTGTATCTGAGGGTAACACCTTTCGCCTGAAAGGTTGCTGCAATGTCAGTGGCCACCAGACACCTCCTTGCCGCCTTGCTGCTTAGCATTCCAGACAGAAGTCAGAAGTCGGATAGAACCTATTGAGCGGACGACTCCCATGCCAATTTGTTGCTGTGTGCAAGAATTTCATTTATGTCAACAACAAAAGCAATAACCAATGCAAGTGCATCGCACAAGTACAGCAACAAAGAAACGGTAAACACGCCCAAGAAAACTGAGGAGCTCATTTATGGAAATTATTAAGTGCAGGCAGTGACCAAAGCGGTTGCTTCTCCCAGTCAAACAGCATTATTATGCGTACATATTTTTATGGACAAGTGCGGGAATGAGCACAGAAACTGGCTGCTCAAGTTCTCTTAACTGAAATCTAATTTAATTTGGGTCTAAATAAAACAATTAAAACCTGAGAAAGCGTGGTTCATTAAAGTATGTATTCTAGTTGGTCATTTACATCTCTATTTTAAAGTAAACTTTAAAGAAAAACTTTGAGGTTGGCCAAGGTGTGAAACCGCAAGGAATTCCCGTACTTACAGACCTTGAAAATAGTTACCAAGGGCGAATGGAATATATAAAATAAGTATGTATCTGAACTGTAAAGCCCATATAAAAGTTAATATACTCATGATCAAAAAAAAGTTATAACTCGATTGGCCTTGCTTATTTCAACTTGATTCTGCGCATTTCTGAATTGAGCTTAATTAATGTTAATTTTATTTCATGAGTTCTCGTTATTATCTGTATTTTGCCAAGCAGTAAAATGCTTTAAAAAAAGTAATTAATAAGTACCAATTGAAAATTACCTAATTAAGCATACAAAATATTCCTAAAACATGTTTCTGTTAGTTAATTAAAATAATAGTTTCAGGAATATTCAGGGAAGGACATATAACGTTTGTTTCTTTCTTAAAATTTAAAAGGCTTTATTAATAAAGGATGTTGAATATTAATTATTTAGGCACCTAACGCCTTGCCTAATTGTCCACAGGCACGTAAACCTTACTCTCAAAGGTTTCACATGCTGTCAAACCGCAAACCCCTCTCACAGGATCCAGTCCCTATAAAAACCACTTCACTGAGCAAAACTAGCAACATAACACCTTCGAAATGGAACCAGTACAGTATAGCTACGAGGACTTCGCCCGATTGCCCAGTTTTGTGGTTGGACTGATGGGATACGACATGTTAGGTGTTCCGAAGACCCGATCCCGGAGGATCTTAATGCGACTATATCGCTTCCTTTGCCTCGCCAGCCACAGCGTCTGCGTGGGATTCATGATATTTCGGATGGTTGAGGCCAATACCATTGACAATGTCTCGCTGATCATGCGCTATGCCACCCTGGTCACCTATATCATCAACTCGGACACCAAGTACGCCACCGCCTTGCAGCGACGTGCCATCCAAAGCTTGAACTCCAAACTGGCGGACCTTTACCCCAAAACCACGCTGGATAGGCTCTATCACCAGGTGAATGACCACTATTGGTCCAAATCATTTGTCTACCTGGTGACCGTTTACATTGGCTCGTCGAGTATGGTTGTCGTCGGACCATTTATTACATCGTTAATATCGTATTTCACAAACCGCGGCTTTACTTATATGCACTGCTATCCCTACTTTGAATTTGATCCTCAAAAACATTCGGTTTGGATATACGTGGGGATCTATGGCTTGGAGTGGCTGCACAGCACCCAGATGGTCATCTCAAACATTGGCGCGGATACCTGGCTGCTCTACTTCCAGGTGCAAATTATTATTCACTTCAGGGGCATTATTCATGCGTTGGAGGACTATCAGCCCAGTGTGGATCACGATGAAAAGGATCGTAAGTTCCTGGCGCGCATCGTGGACAAGCAGGTGGTCCTAGTCAAGTGAGTGAAGTTTGTACATAATATACACCTATATATTGACCAAAAAGTCTTCACATAGTTTTGTCGTTAAGAGCAAAACATAATATATGTTATAATAATGCAATTTTGAAAGGACAATTTAAAAGTTGTACTTCATGTATGTACCTTTTCATCTAAATGTATCTTTTCTTTATACTTATTATTGCTCCTTTTCTGCGACAGGCTGCAGAACGAGCTAAATGAGATCTTTGGTGGATCGCTGCTATTGAGCCTGCTCACTACCGCTTCGGTTCTTTGCACTGTGGCGGTTTACACACTGATTCAGGGCGCAACTTTGGAGGGCTTTACCTATGTGTTTTTCATCGGCACTTCAGTGGCGCAGGTGTATTTGGTTTGCTACTACGGTCAGCAAGTCCTGGATTTGGTGGGTTTACCCTTGGAGTTTCAAGTTTAAGCCCATTAACTTTGATCCTTTGCAGAGTGCCCAGGTGGCCCATGCCGTGTACAATCATGATTTCCACAATGCCTCTATAGCCTACAAAAAGTACCTGTTGATAATTATAATACGGGCACAGCAGCCCGTGGAATTGAATGCCATGGGTTACCTTCCCATTTCGCTGGATACCTTCAAACAGGTGAGATATTGACGATACTGATTCGACATGATATATATTCCTTGATCCCCTTCAGCTGATGAGCGTGACTTACCGCGTTATTACCATGCTTAGGCAGATGATTCAGTAGAATGCAATAAGAGCAGTGATTTTGCTACATTAGCCGCTTTAATCGCACTACACTAGACAACATAAACCAGATCACTTGGGATCCGAGGGCAGCTTGAAGCCGACCAAGTCTGCGGTGTCCCTCACGGATCGCTCTCCCCTCCCGTGATACTCCTTGTAGATCTCCAAGTACTTGCGCTGGCTGGACAGGTAGGTTAAGTAGGTCTGTCCCAGGAAAGTCGCCTCGTTCCGAGCCTTACAAAACTGCTGTTCTGTGGTGGCGAACTTCTTGTATTGCGCTAGGACATAACGCGCGGCCAGCGAGTCCTTGATGCAGCCATTTGGAGCCGCCTGGCGCAGCTCGTGCAGCAGGGAGCGCAGCACCTTAGTTCCTGACATTCTGAGCAAGCAATAACCACTGTAGTTTAAGGAAAAACCAAACAATCAGCAAACTTACGTGATGCTCAAGAAAATTCAAAGTGTTTCTGTCGCACAGCTGTTTTCCGTGGGGTTGCCACCTAGTCACAAAGTAAACATAAAAAAAAAATACAGTGATCCCTCGACATTTGTTTTTTGGTAAAAACTAGCTGGAAATAACAATTTATTTTAGTTTTAAATAATGTAATAGCTACCACTGAATAAAATTGGTTATAATCCATAACTGCAAGATTTCGGAAAGTTTCACAATACGAATATTATTTGCTAGAAAAAGCTCTGAAATTGCAAATACAAATTTGTTTCAATATTTATAAATTGTAGATTTAAATAAATAGAATTATCCATCTTAAATAAATGAATACTTTTGAATTCATTTCCACTAAAACTAAACACAAAATTCCGACAAAAAGAGCAATTCAAAAATTCTTTAAAACCTTGTTTGAATTTTAAAAGGCAACTAAACAGAAATCTTTCTTAGAAATTAAGTTGCTTACGGAAAAAAATGAAACAAAAACTACAAATCCAATAAGAAATCAAACGTAAAATCCTCTAAAAATCCAATAACAAATCTAACATAAATCCATTTAGAAAACCAATAGTAGCAAACACCAAATCCGGTTGGAAAAACAGTTTATTTTAAAAGTTATTTAGCAGTTAACCGAGCTGTTAGCTTGGGAAGTTCACTTCCTGGGCTTTCCGGCGGCTGGCTTCTGGCCGGGCTTCTTGCCGGCGGCTCCCTTGCCCGCTCCGGCCTTGGTGACCTTGCCGGCTCCGGCCTTGGTGCCCTTGCCGACTGGCTTCTTCTTGGGATCGGGCTTGGCCTTGGGGGCCTTCACCGGCTTGACCAGGGCCTCGCGCTGGCTCTTCAGGGCCTTGACGATCTTCTGCTCCTCAATGAGGAAGGCGCGCACGATGCGCTCGCGCAGGCAGCTGTGGCACAGGACTCCTCCGTAGGTCCTGGACACGGTCTTCAGGCGCTTCGACATCCTGGGGCGCTCGCTGGGACGGGAGGGGGTGATTCCCTTGAGCTTCTCCTTGCACTGGCCGCAACGGGGCACGGTCTTGTTCTTCTTCACATACTGGTACACCAGGCGGCCACCGGGAGTGCGAACACTGAAAATCGGGGGGATTCATTATGTATCCACTTCATGGTCTTATTATAGCAGAATAGTTACATGCGCCGCTTGTTGGAGCGTGTGTTGTAGGACAGGCGTCTCCGCAGCGTCAGACGTTGGACCATTTTGCTGTTGTTGCTGCTGGTCCGAGCAATTCGTTGGTTACATATGCAAAAGCGTGGAAAATCATTATTAGTTGGGTGTATCACTAATCAGTTTGCAGTTCTAGCTGCATTTGGTGTCATATTTTCATTAGTTTATCGCAAATTGCGGCAAATTTCAGGGGAATTATAAATTGAACACGTGCATACCTCTAAAGAGACGAAACTAGAAAGAAAGGTGGCAACCCTGCTATCGCGCGACTTGAACTTGGCTGCGCTTCTAGCTGTTTGGCGTTTTCCAACACTAGCGCCTTGCCAGATAATCTGAGAAACAGGGGCTTAGATTTTAATATTAAATATAATTGGGGTTAAAGTAACCCGTTTAATTAGGTGTATAAACTATTATTAAAACCACGCTGTCGTTTAAAGGAAGAACCACTTTCACTTCATTTTTATTTACAGAATTCCAATAAAATCATAATATACAATATTAACATCGATTTTTGAATACCGCTGAATATTGGTTTTAATGTAATTGTAACGTGGGGCACTTATTTTCCAATTTTATTTTTTACAAATATTAGAATATGAAAATTTCTTGAAATATATTTCAAAATGTTGAGAAAATGATAAGAAAATTTCGACTATAAATGTTTATTAGGTTTTAATTTATCTTAATATGTTTGTGCACAAAATAAAGAAATGGTACCCCTAAAAGCAAACCACATTTTCATTTAACTGTTTAACTGTTCGAACCCCCTTTACTACGCCCCTGCCATCACCTGTTGTTGTTTTGCTTGTGGTTGCAATTGTTATCAAACCGCAAACAGATAACATTTAATAGCAGCAATATGAGCAAAGTCAGCAACAGTAAGTGCTCTCCAGCTTAGAGGACCGTAATACCAGCCTCCTGATCATATATTTCTATTAAAGTCATGCGTTTGGTGCTGTTGCAACTGCGGGGATCCAAGGACAAGGTAGCCAATGTCAAAAATGCTGCCAGGACAATTGAAGCGGCGGTCAAGGAGCACCACCCACGATTGATCACCCTGCCTGAGTGTTTCAATGCTCCCTACGGCACGAAGTACTTCAGGGAGTATTCCGAGACCATCCCTGATGGCTACACCTGCCAGGAGCTCTCGAATCTGGCCAAGAAGCACCAGGTTTATATCGTGGGTGGAACTATACCGGAACTGGGCGAAAATGATGCCATCTATAACACCTGTACGGTGTGGTCACCCACTGGTGACCTGGTGGCCAAACACCGGAAGATGCACTTATTCGACATCGATGTCAAGGGCGGTATCCGCTTCAAGGAATCAGAAACCCTGTCCGCAGGCAATGACTTCACTACCATCGATGTTGATGGCCACAAGATTGGCATTGGCATCTGCTACGACATCCGGTTCGAGGAGATGGCCCGGCTCTATCGCAACGCAGGCTGTGAGATGATCATCTATCCGGCTGCCTTCAACATGACCACCGGCCCTCTGCACTGGGAGTTGCTCCAGCGAGCCCGTGCCAATGATAACCAACTCTTTGTAGTGACCACTTCACCAGCCAGGGATGCCAGTGCCGAGTATGTGGCCTATGGCCATTCTATGGTGGTGGATCCTTGGGCCAAAGTGCAGCAGAGTGCCAGCGATGGCGAGGAGACTGTGGTGGCGGACATCGACTTTTCCCTGGTGGAGCAAGTCCGTCAGCAAATTCCCGTCTTTGGGCAAAGGCGTCTGGATTTGTACGGCACTGAAAAGAAGTCCAAGTAAAGGATTCTTAACCTTTGCCTTAACGATTTAAATCCAGGAGAAGAATTGTAATCTTAACCATTGTTTTAAATCCTAGAACTGAATAGAAATCTTGCATTTATGTTTGTTGATTGTATACAAAATTTAATAGTCCTAAACACATGTTACACTGATTTCTTACGATTGACGATTTATTGATGTTTATCTGGCTGTGGATTATCGGTGGAAGCCAAGTCCGTGGCAGCTGATTGCACATAGTGGGGACGCTGGGCCTGGTCGAACAGAGCTCGTATTGCTTCATCGGTGGCCATCAGGGGCTGACTGATGAATTCCAGAGCCTTCGGAAAGATTAACAAAAAATGAAACCTGAAATTGTGAGACATATTTTCCCCCACTCACCCTAACTGCATACTTCTCCGCCTCGCAAAGTGGACTTGTGCTGGCGCTAGACAGCTTGAGGGTCTCCTCAGGAATGCCCACGCCCGTGTGCAGCACCATTCGCTGGAGGATGTTCAGGTTTTCGGCGCTTAAGCTGATCACATCGGTGGCGGGCAAGTTCAGGAAGCGAATCTTGGCCAGGAACTTTAGCTGCTTGAGCATGTCTAGCTGAATTTCGCGGATCTGGTGGGTGGCGTGAAGTAGCTGTTTGGTGGACTCGTTAAGCAGCTGGTTCTTTTGGGTGAGATCGGCTTTCCAGCGTGCCAGTTCCTCGACCATGACACTGCTGGCAAGGAACTTTGACCGCCACACCTCGCATTGCCCTGCCAAGAACTCAATCTGCTCGGTGTGGGTGGTTAGGTTGTTGGCGGTGTCCAGAAGGGCCCTGGCCAGTTGTAGTTTGTCCTCAGTTAGGAGATTGACCCTCGTCTGCAGATCCTCGCCCACGGAGGCCACCAGCAAGCTTTTCAGTTCGCTGTTCACCTGCGTTTGGAACTTATACTGGGCTTGAAAGTAATTCCTTTCTTCGCGCATCTGGGCCAGTTCCTCCTGGAGTGAAGCCAACTCATTGCTACTGGTCTGGGAGGTTTCCTTGATATCTCTGTGTTCCGTGTCCAGCTCTTGGGTGCGCAGCGTTGACACCTGATCCACCAGCACTGCGATGTCTAGGTTGTTCTTGTCCCGATGGATTTTGTGTTTGTTCGTTGGCTCGGAGATCATGGGGTTCACGGCACCCGGATACGGCTCAAAGGGCACGAACTTGGGGGCCTTGGTCTTCTTGTGTTCGGGCAGGGATTCCGTGCTGGCTACAAGCCGTGGACGCATCTGGACAAGTTCCCCCTTGGGCATTACGGGTGCCAAACTCCGGGTGACGATCTCCGGTCGTCTGTATAGTGTGTGCAGTCCGGGAAGGGGCAAATTAGAGGCGTGGACACTGCTCGCGGATGTCTTCCTGCCCATGACAGCCTCCTGAATAACTGTGCTGTCCTTTCGCGACAACTGAGGCCTCTTCACCTTGATGTCCACATCAGCAATGGCCTGAATTTCCCCCTCTGTTTTTGCTGTTCCTCGGGTTTCCGGTTGCTCCATGCCATCGCCGCTGGTGCGGCAGTCTGGCGATTTGGCCGCCATTGGAACCGTGCCATCGGACTCCATTTCTTCAATTTTCTAAATTCAATAATATCTCTGGCTGTGCCAGCAAAACAAAAACAATGACCAAGGCTGCCAACTCGCTTTAACGGTGTGAAAGCCCAGTAGTGTTTTGATAAAGTGTTGGTTAATACCTTGATAACTTTTCCATATACATCATTTTTAGATACTCTATACGCTCCACAAATAGGTCTTAATTTGAATTGACAATTTAATATAAGGAGATTAACTTCTCTAAAGTTTCATTAACCCTGAAAATAATCTACATTAATGTAATAATGCGTAACCGTGCTAAAAAAATGTATCTTAAAATGTCCATATAATAAATGTTTTTATTTTGAGCTTTTAGCTACAATGGTTTTTCAAATACTTTATTGTTCTTTAAATTTTTAACCTTCCTTGATTTTTTGATGTGGTGTTATTTTTATGAGGGCAGCAAAACAGTTTAAATAACTTGTATATTCATTGTCATTTACCTCAACTAGGCACAACTAATAATTAGATTATACGTAATAATTATTTGTTAGATTGTTTGTATCCAATAAATGTAAACTAAAGTGTGGGTAATCTTTATTAATTTATATAACAATTAAACTTTTGTATATCTAATTTTTAAAACCTGTCCAGTGTGACCAGAGCAGGCAACCGTAGTAATGCCTGATGCACTCCCATTTAATACTGTTTCTTGGCCCACCCACGCAACCGTGCACACTGTTTTGGTAAAGTCGATTGATTGAAAAAAAACAAATAAATACGAGGAGCGGCGAAGGAAGAACTAAACCTGATACCGGCGATACGAAGAGTCCGCTGCTGCCCACCCCAACAGCCCCGGCCACGCCCCCCGCCCGCCCGTCGAGTGCCGAAGGATGTCCGCTGTGGAGGCGGATGTGCTGCAGAAAATCGATCTGATTGAGCCCACAACCGGAAAATTGTTTTTCGAGCACAAAACGGAACTGGTATTCTGCCGGCCACATCTGATGCCGCTGAAGACGCAGGCGCTGGAACGTCTGGAGGAAATGCATCGGGACACCGCTCGCCAATTGCAGAAGAAGCGATTGCAGAAGAAGTCCACGGAGCCCACAGGCTCGCTATGAATTAGTCCTGTTCGCAATCATAGTTGTCATAAGCACACCCACACGAAAAAGCACAAGAAACCGGCACTCTATCTGGATTAGGAATACAATTTGGGAGGATGGCCTATCTGTTGACCTTCGGCATCGTGGCCGCCTTATTCCTGGCCAGCATCTCACTGTATCGCTATGGCAACATACCACGTCAGCACATCCTGGTCACCTTGTCCGTGCTTACCGCCTGGTGCTTCTCCTTCCTGATTGTCTTCACCATTCCACTGGACGTGACATCGGTGAGTGCGAATGAGCTCTGAATCCCCTTGAAACTGAATGGGTAAACTAAAGTAACTAAAGTTACAAGAGAAGATGGTATTAATAATGACCGAGTTACGATTCAAAGAATCTGGTAAAAAGATATTATTAACACAGAAATTTATATACTTCTTCCATATGCTGTTATTTTACATAAAACTGATTGAGATAGGATGGGACTTAGACATCCAATCTTTATTATCGTCCTAAACTTTTATTACAAACCATATGCTCCGCTTATTGCCAATTAGTTTTATAACAAAGACGTTCGATCCCGATACTTTTGATTTATATTCTATAGATTTATTTTGTTTAATAAATCATGTTTAAAGTGCAGGCAGATTGCTCAGTAAACTTATATTTAAAATAGTATAGTTGGTTTATTACTTACACCTTGTCCAAACGCGTTTCAGCCAAAGGCCTTAAAATACATACATATTGCCATAACATCAATATTTACTTTTCTGTTTTATAATTGTTCAATCGTTAAGCTTGGCAAATTTCTCCTACAACAAATTCTTTTGTTCCCAAAGTCAGAAGAGAAATTAATTAATTTTTTTATCTAAAGCTTTCCAGGCACCTTTCAATTTGTCAATAAAGTTCTCCACTGATTTGTGTTTGGAATTTCTTTGAATGAATCACGTTAGAGCTAGGTCGTTACATTTTATTTAACTATCGTACTGAGAATACTATTTCCCATTTGGTTATCAACTCCGCAATCTCAGTTTTTAATTATAAACGATATAAGTAACTGAATTTGGAATTCCCGTTACAGACACTTTACCGGCAGTGCGTGGAGGAGCACCGACCGACCCCACCACCAAATGTCAACGCCACTCCGGCCGCCAATGTGACCCCGCCGCCTCAGTGCCAGGAGCCGTGGGGCATGGTCCCCGCCTCCGTGTTCCCCAACCTGTGGCGCATTATCTACTGGAGCTCGCAGTTCCTCACCTGGTTGATCATGCCGCTGATGCAATCCTATCTGAAGGCGGGCGATTTCACCGTCAAGGGCAAGCTGAAGTCGGCGCTGATCGAGAACGCCATCTACTACGGATCCTACCTGTTCATCTGCGGCGTACTCCTCATCTATATTGCCGTGAAAGGGGAGTCGCTGGACTGGCAGAAACTGAAAGCTATCGCCTCGTCGGCCTCAAACACCTGGGGCTTGTTTCTACTCATCTTGTTGCTGGGCTATGCTCTGGTGGAAGTTCCCCGCTCGCTGTGGAACAATGCCAAGCCGGGATTTGCGCTGCAATACGCTTACTTCAAGGCGGCCAAACTGAGCACTGAGAAGGCGGAGGCCGAGGAGCACGTGGACGACATTCTGGAGTCGCTGCAGGGGCTCAGCCGGGTCATACCGAACAACCATGAGCTGCGCCCCTGCCTGGAGACCATCATGCGGAAGGTCCCTATCGAACTGCAGGAGCGGGCGAGCCGAAACTTTGCCCGAACCGGAGGTAGCGGAATGGGCACCACCAGCTCCACTATCTTGCCATCGGAAAAGGCGCTGGTCCGGATTCATAAGCAAGTAATCAAATCCCTGCAGACGCTGCAGCGCACGGAAGCGCTGTGGAGCGTGCAGGTACAGACAGTGCTGCATCTGGAGGATGTGGCCAAAAACATTCACTCCTCGGAACGGCGCTTCAAATCGGAGTTCCCACGCCAGCGCACGCAGCTGGAGCGGATATGCTACAGTGCGACGCTGCAGTGGTACTGGGAGTGTCTGCTAAAGGCTCCGTTCCTCAAGACCATGTGCATCCTGACCGCCACCATGTCCGCCATGGTGGTTTGGAGCGAGCTTACCTTCTTCAGTCGACACCCTGTGCTTTCCATTTTCGCCAACGTGATCTACGTGGCCAAGGAAAGCTACGACTTCTTCACCATTGAGGTCTTTTCAATGGTGGTCCTTTGCTACTTCTTCTACTGTACTTACTCCACCATATTGAGGATTCGATTCCTGAATCTGTACTATCTGGCACCGCATCACCAGACCAACGAGCACAGCTTGATCTTCAGCGGCATGCTACTTTGCCGTCTGACGCCGCCCATGTGCCTCAACTTCCTGGGTCTTATCCACATGGACACACACATTATCCCCAATGTGAGTATACAACTCTCTTTGTAAACTCTCCAAAAACTCATACTTTCATTTGCTTAATCCCCAGCGTATTATGGAGACGGTCTACACTCAGATCATGGGCCACATGGACGTTATCGGCATCATCTCGAACGGCTTCAACATCTACTTCCCCATGTGCATGCTGGCCTTCTGCCTGGCCACCTGGTTCAGCCTGGGCAGTCGGGCCTTGAATGCCCTAGGCTTCCAGCAGTTTCTGCAAAACGAGACGATTGCCACGGAGCTAGTGCAGGAGGGCAAGGATCTGATAGCGCGCGAGAAGCGGCGGCGACAGCGAGCCGAGGAGGCGATTGCCAGGAGACGGGACTTCAACCGACCCGACCAGGTCCTGGGCAGCGACTACTTAAGCAAGTACCGGAGTGGAGGAGGTGTCCTGGCCAGCAGTCGGACTCCCGCGGACGGACTACTGCGCGATGGCGACGGGAGCTTTGACTACGCGGCGGTGGCCTCCTCCTCGGCACTGGGCGTTCCACGATCTCTGTCAGAGGAGATCAACGACCGCTTTGGAGTCAGCACCCAAGTGCAAGTGGGTTTCCGGGACCCCGACTACGAGGCGGAGCAGGATGGCCGCATTGGGGGCCCGCCGCCGCGAGGACTCTTCGACGATGTCTAGGCTCGAAAGATGGATATTTCTTTATTTCAACTCGTAACCGAGTATCTCAATGTCTGCAATGTTCCGTAGTATATATTTCGTTCGTGCTTAAGTATTTTCCGCTGCCACTGCTGCTGCTGTTCCTTCACACCTATGTACACCATTCGATTGAATAAACCACTAGAAAGGATTCTTCATTTGGCTCTGAGGTAGCTTGTCCCTTCGCCGATTTCAAGGCTAGAGGCGATGCCACTATCGTTGGCAGACGTCTGAAGTTCGGACTCCTTCGAGGTGTCTGCTTCTGTTAAGCATTTGGTGTCTTCTGGATCTTCGGTTTTCGCACGCTTGCGCAGCTCCGATATGGGATGCGGATTTATGCGCTTGCGACTGCGCAGATAGCCACAGCGGGAAGTAAGCGGCGTCATGGGCGGATGCATCTTAGAACTGCCTCTTATGATTTACACAACTGGAACGACTTTTGCCAAATTAAGAACTCGGTTGATAATGCAAAAGGCAACTTTGCTTTCAATAGAATTGTCATCCAGGCATATTTTATTGGCCTACAACACTGCAATTATATTTTAAAAATCAAGTAGCCCTGAAATTTTAGAACACGTTAAATAGAGGTTTACAAATGTATTGGATTCCGAGCCAATAACGAACCCAAGCCAAATAAATGTAGTACTATATTATTAAAACAATAGCAATTAATTATGCGTGTCGTTTGAAAACTAAAAGGTTTATTTGTTAACCTAGAATTCACAGCAATTGCAACAAGAGATAACAGGGATAATCTCCGTGTGTGATGTGTAATCTCACAAAAATCCGTAGAGGAAATATGTACAATCGACAGGATTTGCTTTTCAATCTGTGCTAACCGAAGGAACAGTGTAAATTGTGCTCGATTTTAGGTTGCCATCAGTGGTCGTCCGCTAGCTTGTGTTGGGTCGTTGGTTGTCTAGTGTTTGATGGGGAGGATGATGTAGATGTGGGTTGTGGTGAAAAAAACCTATTCATCGCCGCCACCCTCTTCGTCCTCATCGAATTCGCCCTCCTCGTCGGCAGTGGCTTCCTGGTACTGTTGGTACTCCGATACCAGATCATTCATGTTGCTCTCGGCCTCGGTGAACTCCATTTCGTCCATGCCCTCGCCGGTGTACCAATGCAGGAAGGCCTTCCTCCTGAACATGGCCGTAAACTGCTCCGAAACGCGCTTGAAGAGCTCCTGGATGGCCGTAGAGTTCCCAATGAAGGTGGCCGACATCTTGAGACCCCGGGGTGGAATATCGCACACCGCCGTCTTGCAATTGTTCGGGATCCACTCGACGAAGAAGCTGCTGTTCTTGTTCTGGATGTTCAGCATCTGCTCGTCCACCTCCTTCATGGACATGCGACCCCGGAAGATGGCGGCCACGGTCAAGTAGCGACCATGTCGCGGATCACAGGCGGCCATCATGTTCTTGGCATCGAACATCTGCTGGGTCAATTCGGGCACGGTGAGAGCCCGATACTGCTGCGATCCTCGCGAGGTGAGAGGAGCGAATCCGGGCATGAAGAAGTGCAGCCGGGGGAAGGGCACCATGTTCACCGCCAGCTTGCGAAGATCAGCGTTCAGCTGGCCGGGGAACCGAAGGCAGGTTGTCACCCCAGACATGGTGGCCGAAACCAGATGATTGAGGTCACCGTAAGTCGGAGTCGTGAGCTTAAGTGTGCGGAAACAGATGTCGTACAACGCCTCATTATCAATGCAGTACGTCTCATCGGTGTTCTCCACCAACTGGTGGACACTTAAGGTGGCGTTGTAGGGCTCCACCACCGTATCCGATACCTTGGGCGAGGGCACCACCGAGAAGGTGTTCATGATGCGGTCGGGGTACTCCTCGCGGATTTTGGAGATCAGTAGGGTGCCCATGCCGGAGCCGGTGCCGCCACCCAGCGAGTGGGTTAGTTGGAAACCCTGGAAAGAAAAAAAATAGAAATTAAATGTACTGGTTGTAAACGGTGAAGCGGCCACAACTTACCTGCAGGCAATCGCAGCCCTCCGACTCCTTTCGCACCACATCCAGGACGGAGTCCACCAGTTCGGCACCCTCTGTGTAATGGCCCTTGGCCCAGTTGTTGCCGGCACCAGACTGGCCGAAGACGAAGTTGTCCGGTCGGAAGATCTGGCCAAAGGCACCAGATCGAACCGAGTCCATGGTGCCGGGCTCGAGGTCAACCAGGATGGCCCGGGGAACATACTTCGCACCGGTGGCCTCGTTGTAGTAGACATTGATGCGCTCCAGCTGCAGATCACTGTCGCCGTAGTACGTTCCGGTCGCATCTATGCAATGCTCGTCCGAGATCACCTCCCAGAATTTACCGCCGATCTGGTTTCCGCATTGCCCGGCCTGGATGTGTACGATTTCACGCATCTTTGCGCTTGTCAAGGATCAAAGGTTAAAATTCCAATTTTGGAAATTTTTTCACCAAAAAAAAAAAATCGAGTTGTCGAGCAGATGTCTGAGGGGGGCAAAAACCGACGAACAACTGAATATTTAACGTATAATTTTCAGGTTTATATTTCACACGTGTACTTGCTAGCTGATACTGAGGTGGACTGACTCTGGATAGGAGATCGTCTCGGAAGGTTCTCAGCCGGACTACTTCGATCCCTGCTTTTTGCTTTTTTTTCTTTCCAAAAATTCAAATCGTTCAGTTCAAGTGTTTTGAGCAAAAACTTTAATAGTACCTATTTAAACCAATATACAGCTAAAATTCGAGATGGGATGGAGTGGGCGGTGCCCTCGAGCCATTGGAGGCCTCTAGGGTCACCAGCCATACGATTGATACGATTGATATTGACATGGATATTATGGAGATTCCTCCTTTGTAAATGTGTATATGGGTATATAATGGAATGGGTCGATTATTGCGCTTGCTGAAAACTGGAAAATCATATACGAGGAAGTTGCATATGCAAATTTTAACGACAAGAAAATATTTTTATAATTTCTAAGTCAAATAAAGGGACAAGAAACAAATTATTATCATGTTTTTCAGAAAAAGGTCCGTTTAAACGGATAGGATTCTTAACGCTTTCACAATTCTTTGCAAGGACAATCGACCCATCCGTGTATAATTATGTACGTAGGGAAGGTTCGTCTAACAACCAATGTGGTAATAATTTGTAATGATTTGGCGGAGGTTGAGTCACTACAGGATTGTATCTATACTTAGGCGTTCCCTTGGCTCTGGCTCCTACAAGGAGGAGTCCCACAGCTGGTTATACGGATATCAGACGGAGGCGCGTTTCAGGCACAAAGTGCTCTCAATGATATCCGTGGGTGCGAAATCCGGGTCCACGAACTGTTCGTGGTTGAGGCACCTGGTGCCACCCATGCAAGTGCAGGAACACAACGAAGCGGTCTCATCGTTTTCAGTGGTGTAATTGTTCTCCAGCAATTTGCCGTGCATGTTGTAGGTGGATTCATCATCGAAGGTTACTGGCTGGGCATTTCCGGCCAGGTTTTGGGCATCCTGCTCATCCCTCTTGGCATCCTCCGCTTGCCTGTGGTAGGAAACCCCTTTAATTGGATATTCTCAATCATAATATAACAACTTACATCGTCATGAAGCGCAGCACCAACAGATTAATACTGGCGGCCACCACGGCCAGTCCGAACAGGATGAAGACCAAGCTCAGGGCCACATAGCCAGGTTTGTTGGTCAGGGCCTGATCGTTCTGCAATGCCACATAGTCCCCGAAACCAATTGTGGTTAAGGTGACGAAGCAGTAGTAGAAGCTGTCGAAGTAGCTCCATCCCTCGTATCGGGAGAACACTGCTGCTCCCGTTGTAATGATTATGGAGGAGAGCATTCCAGTGGCCAGCATAAGATTCATCTCCGTGGCATCCGTACACCGGGCTCCACTGGCCCTCTTGGCCCGCCTGATGATGACTGATGCGAACTTATTGAGACGCTCACCGATCGACTGGAACATCACCAGGCCCAGAGGGATTCCCACCTGCGGAGGGACATTTTTATTAGATTGGATTGAATGTCATTATCGGATCACTCACCATTGCATAGCCCATACAAAATGCTTTTCCCGGAATGGTAACTGGAGTGGAGTGGCCATATCCTGAAAGGTATGGAAGAATTACAGGATAGAGATCTTGATCGGCTAGATCGGTTCGATGATGGTAAGTAAATAAAAATTGTAATTACCTATCATGGCCAAAACAACAGTGCTGAAATAAAAGGCTCCAGCGAATTTCCACTGCGGTCCTGCCTTGTGTGGTTTGTTTTCAATGATGACGATTTCCATTACCCGGAAATCCTCGTCGGTCACATTGTACTTCTTCACAAAGTTGTTCTTAACGGCTGGAATTGAGAACTAATAAGACTGGTACAGGATAGTATTGAATTGAGGACGTTACCCTGTAAGAACTCCCAACGTTTGGTCTCCGTTGGCGACTCCAGCGAATCGAAGACCGCGGCGCCAATTAAGAGGTACGTGAAAGTGCAAACCACAAGGGAAAGGGTTCGCACATTTTGCCGCTTCATAATGCAGATAGCCTATTGTAGTTAGTTCTTTAGTTCTCAAATATAATCTAACTGATTTTGAAATTAAATCCTTTTTGGGCGCCTTTTTTCGGTTAAGTGAAGATGCTGCGACTGACAAAATCAATAATGGTCAGCAAAACAAATACACAGCATCCACAGTTATTTGTGAGTCCGCTTATAGCGGCTCAATAGCAAGTGCTATAATAAAACTCATAAACTAGTGTATTATAAAACATTTAATATGCTATAAATCAACTGCCAAAAAATTCAATTCTTTTAAATCTTCTTTCAGATAATAATATTACCGTTATTGCAACAGAAGCAACAGAAGTAGATGGTGTTGCCACTTAGTTAATAATGTTACTTAACAGCCTTATATAGTTAAAAAAGTAAACTACATATATCTAGGTAAATCATGTGGGTTTTGTTATGTATACTTAAATAGTACTATTAACAACCAGTCAGTGTATTATATTTTTCACAATTACTTTTTATTTTAAAATTTAAAAAACCAGCTGGGTTGGCAGCGCCCATAAACGTTAAAATCAGGGTAAACGGTCACACCATTTTTTTGTTTATGCGAAAAAACCACGCAAGTAGAGCGATTTGTTTGTTGCTATTGTGCTGTTGTTGTCTGTGTCGTCGTTTCCATGATTAATTAACCGGAAAATGTTGCGCATACGTCGACGCTTCGCTTTGGTGATTTGCTCCGGCTTCCTGCTGATTTTCCTCAGCCTGTACGTGATCCTAAACTTTGCGGCGCCGGCAGCCAACCAGAAAAAGGTAAATAAATGGGCGTACATCAATTCCAGTGGCTAATAAGACTCTCCGGATGTTGCAGCCCAACTATGTGGCCATCGAGGACAAGCTGCAGCGGCTGGAAAATGGCCTGCAGGAGCACGGCGAGGAGATGAGGGACATGCGGGCTCGACTGGCCAAAACCGCAGTTCGCGCGGAGCCCTTTAAGGCCCCACTCAAGGTGCCACTTTCTGCAGGACCAGGAGAGTGCCAGGATGTGGTCCAGGATGTGCCCAGTGTGGAGGTACAGATGCTGGAGCTGTACGACCGCATGTCCTTCAAGGACATCGATGGAGGCGTGTGGAAACAGGGCTGGAACATCAAGTACGACCCACTGAAGTACAACGCCCACCACAAACTGAAAGTCTTCGTTGTGCCGCACTCGCACAACGATCCCGGATGGATCCAGACCTTCGAAGACTACTACCAGCACGACACCAAGCACATCTTGTCCAATGCCCTCCGTCATCTGCACGAGAACCCCGAGATGAAGTTCATCTGGGCGGAGACCTCGTACTTTGCCCGATTTTACCACGATCTGGGAGAAAACAAGAAGCTGCAGATGAAATCGTAAGAACTCGTTTATTATATAATCAAGCAAGAAACAGTTCCTGTTAAAAAGATAGATTTTAAGCCAGAGCCGGTATTGTATCCATACGTATTGGCGGATGTTAACTAACTTAACTGAATGCCATTATATTTTGCCATTGTTTTGTTTAGACCTTAAACAGCTGCTTTTAAAAACAATGAAATATTGCACACTACTTGTACATATTTACTTGAAAATCGTTTAGTTAAATACTATGCCATTGCACGCGTGTTGTTTGTAAAGAACTTCAAACAGACTTATCTCATTGCAAATTAGCTTAGTACCTATTTACATTTTTGTATACATTTTATGTTATTCATGATAATAATTTCATTAAAACGTTACTTTTTCAGCATTGTCAAGAGTGGGCAGCTGGAATTTGTGACCGGTGGATGGGTGATGCCGGACGAGGCCAACTCTCACTGGCGGAACGTGCTGCTGCAGCTGACCGAAGGCCAGACCTGGTTGAAGCAGCACCTGAATGTCACACCCACCGCTTCCTGGGCCATCGATCCCTTCGGGCACAGTCCCACCATGCCGTACATCTTGCAGAAGAGCGGCTTCAAGGATCTGCTCATCCAGCGGACGCACTACTCGGTGAAGAAGGAGCTGGCCCAACAGCGCCAGCTGGAGTTCCACTGGCGCCAGATCTGGGACACCAAGGGAGACACGGCCCTCTTCACCCACATGATGCCCTTCTACTCGTACGATATTCCCCACACCTGTGGCCCAGATCCCAAGGTGTGCTGCCAGTTTGATTTTAAGCGCATGGGTGCCTTTGGATTAAGTTGTCCGTGGAAGGTGCCACCGCGGGCCATTGTGGATGGGAATGTGGCAGCACGCTCGGATCTGCTGGTGGATCAGTGGAAGAAGAAGGCTGAGCTGTATCGATCGAACGTCTTGCTGATTCCGTTGGGCGACGACTTCCGCTTCAAGCAGAACACCGAGTGGGATGTGCAGCGGGTGAACTACGAGAAGCTCTTCGAGCACATCAACAGCCAGGCGCACTTCAATGTTCAGGCTCAGTTCGGAACCCTCCACGAGTATTTCGATGCAGTGCGCCAGGCGGAGAAGGCGGGACAGGCCGAGTTTCCCACGCTGAGCGGCGACTTTTTCACCTATGCCGATCGTTCGGATAACTACTGGAGTGGCTATTACACATCGCGACCGTATCACAAGCGCATGGATCGCGTCCTGATGCACTACGTCCGCTCGGCGGAGATGCTCTCCGCCTGGCACTCCTGGGACGGAATGGCGGGCATCGAGAAGCGCCTGGAGCTGGCACGCAGGGAGCTGTCGCTGTTCCAGCACCACGACGGCATTACTGGCACGGCCAAGACGCATGTTGTGCAGGACTACGAGCTACGCATGCAGGAGGCCCTAAAGGCCTGCCAAATGGTGATGCAACAGTCGGTCTACCGCTTGTTAACCAAGCCATCTATCTACAGCCCGGACTTCAGCTTTTCCTACTTCACGCTGGACGATTCGCGCTGGCCGGGATCAGGTGTAGAGGACAGTCGCACAACCATTATTTTGGGCGAGGATGTACTGCCCAGCAAGCACGTGGTGATGCACAATACCCTGCCCCACTGGCGGGAGCAGCTGGTGGACTTCTATGTGTCCAGTCCATTCGTGAGTGTCAGCGACTTAGCCAACAACCCGGTGGAGGCTCAGGTGTCTCCTGTGTGGAGCTGGCACCACGACACGCTCACCAAGACCATCCACCCACAAGGCTCCACCACTAAGTATCGCATCATCTTCAAGGCACGCGTACCGCCCATGGGACTGGCCACCTACGTTCTGACCATCTTGGAGTCGAAACCAGAGTGAGTTGCCTTTAACACATTCTTTATTGAACATTTAAAACTTGTACATCCATTTAGCTTGTTGTGATTGTATCGTTAGTAACCTCACTCGATTGTATGTTAAGCATTAGTTTTCAATTTAACAATTTTTACAATAACGTGCCATGAATAAATATGTTCTGTAAGTACAATTTCTGTACCATCAGATAGTATTTTAAAAGCTTTTCAGTGTACTGACATTAATGAAAACTAAAATGTTGATCACATCCGCAGACACACCTCGTACGCCTCGAATCTCTTGCTCCGATCAAACCCGGCTTCCGTGCCATTGGGCCAATATCCGGAGGATGTGAAGTTTGGTGAACCCCGGGAGATCTCATTGCGGGTGGGCAATGGCCCCACATTGGCATTTTCGGAGCAGGGTCTGCTCAAGTCCATCCAACTCACTCAGGACAGTCCGCACGTGCCGGTGCACTTGAAGTTCCTCAAGTATGGCACTCGGACTCATGGAGATCGATCCGGAGCCTATCTGTTCTTGCCCAACGGACCCGCCTCGCCTTTCCATCTCAACCACCCGGTCGTCCTGGTAACCAAGGGCAAACTGGAGTCGTCTGTGAGCGTGGGTCTGCCGAGTGTGGTGCACCAGACGATTATGCGTGGCGGAGCTCCCGAGATTCGCAACCTGGTGGACATCGGCCTGTTGGATAACACGGAGATCGTGATGCGCTTGGAGACGCACATCGACAGTGGCGACATCTTCTACACGGATGTCAACGGGCTGCAGTTCATGAAGCGGAGGCGTTTGGAAAAGATACCCTTGCAGGCCAACTACTATCCGGTGCCCTCTGGCATGTTCATCGAGGACGCCAATATGAGACTAACTCTCCTCACGGGTCAGCCTCTGGGTGGATCGTCCCTGTCCTCGGGTGAGCTTGAGATCATGCAGGATCGACGCCTGGCCAGCGACGATGAACGTGGCCTGGGACAAGGGGTCTTGGACAACAGGCCGGTGCTGCACATCTATCGCCTGGTGCTAGAGAAGATTAACAGCTGTGCGCGACCATCGGAGGTGCATCCGGCTGGTTACTTGACCAGTGCCGCACACAAGGCCTCACAATCCCTGCTAGATCCGCTGGACAAGTTCATATTCGCCGAAAATGATTGGATCGGGGCACAGGGTCAGTTTGGCGGCGAACATGCCTCAGCTCGTGAGGATCTGGATGTGCCCGTGATGCGACGCTTGACCAAAAGCTCGGCCAAGACGCAGCGTGTGGGCTTCGTCGTGCATCGCACCAATCTGATGCAGTGCGGCGCTGCAGAGGAGCACGCAAAGAAGGTGTGTTTATCTTTATTTATTTTAACAATTAAAAACCAATATTAATTTCCCTTTTATTTGTATTTCTCAGCTGGATGTGTGCCACTTACTTCCTAATACGGCGAGGTGCGAGCGAACTACGCTCACTTTCCTGCAGAATCTGGAGCAGTTTGAGTCCATGGTGGCGCCGGAGGTGTGCCCTATGGAAACGGTCGCCTATGTGAGCAGCCACACAAGCTGATCGCCACGTTTCCTCCAAAAGGATCTTACTAAGGCCGAAGAGCGATGACAGAAGAACAACACATGAATCTCGGACACTGACTTACTGCAATACAGGCAATCTTTGTTTAATGTCTAACCAAAAGCACTAACTGCACCGCAAGACAATGCGTAGTCCATACTACGTATCATTTATTTATTCAAGCTTCCACACGAGGGTTTGGAAATTCGATCCTATGACGCAGCGGTGTATTTCTGCACCCCTTGTATCAAAACATTTTACTTTGTTTCCCCTAGGTTTTTACGTTTTTGTGATATCCCGATCCCACAGCAAGCAATACATACATGTCTGTCTTCAATATCCCGCCCGGGATATTTCCAAAAAACAATGAATCTTAACTATAACTAACGTTTAACTGTAATGTAGGCTTAGTGATAATGATGAAACTGCAAAGGCAATGATATTAATCTCGACGTTTGTTTTGTAACGAATTGAATAAATTGAGTCTCATTTTTAAATCGACCTTTTAGTGCTATTCTGTACTAAAAAAATCAACAATCATGTTTTTTTTATTTTTGGGTACAGCGAAACATCATAACTGATATTTATACATATTATATATCATAGATATATTAGACTATATATCATAGATAGATAATTCTAACAGTTTGTATTAAGTTAAGGATTTCATGGCTAATCAATTATAATTTTATTAGAGATTTGAGAATATCTAGGATCATTAACGTTAAAATAATTAGTATCAAAAGTGTAAATTCAAGGGGCTTATAATTTAAATATTTACAGTTTTTTTTTCAAAAATATTTTTACGACTAGTAAATAAATCTCGATGCAAAAAAATTATTAAATAATTGATAACATTTTAAAAATCAAATTGGATTCCAATTTTAAAAATGGGTTTCAATTCTTTTAAGAGTGCGTCCTGTTGATCCTTAAAAAGTAGAAAAATGTGGTTTATTTTTCTTAAAGTTTTTATTATATAACCTATCTTGTTTTTAAAGCAAATTATTCAAATCAAAGTCATAATCAAGAGTTATAGTTTTAGTGGGTAAAAACAAAAAGTCAATCTTATCAGCTCCAGTGTGGTACTGTTATTGCCAGAATGACCTACAGAGAAACCGAGAGAGGAGTGAATAGGACGGGAGGAGGGGCTGGAAAATGCACAATGGAATTGGAAATCCAGAATCTAAATTGAGCGTAAAGTGGTTGTTTGGGGAGAGGAGAGCGAGAGCGCGAAAGAGAGTCGGTGCGCAGTTTTGTCTCTCAAAAACGAAATTGTATCTGTGAGATACTCTCGCCCTCTCTTTAACGACCATCGGAATTTTCTGTACAGAAACAGAAATCTCAGTCAGCTCGCTGTTTTCAAGTTTTGAATCCGCATTTCAGTTCAGTTGGATTCAGTCACGTCACAGAGTCAGAGCGCCAGATTCAGATTCAGATCATCGTGGTCGCCAGTGAGTTTGTTTATATGTTTGTTGCTGCCTGTGTGTTTGTTTGTCAAGTTCTGCAACGCAACAAAAACAAGGCATCTAAACAAAAGTGGATCAAAACAATTAACGAAAATAACCTACCAACAAAAAAAATAGTGCTTCAAAATCGGAGAGATACTGCTGCTATTGTTGTTGTCGTTGCCTAAAGCGGACTGGAATTTAATTAAATTAAATTAAATTATGAACGAATGAGTGTATGCGCCTGTGTGTGCCTAAGCTGCGTTCTTGAGTTGTTCTTGTTCCAAGTTCTTTTTTTCGTGGCGTGTATCTGTGTGCGCGTGTTCGTGTGGTGGTGTGCGTGTGCTTTTTGTGAACTACGTTTTGTTTCAATGCCAAAAAGTATCTATGCCCTGGCATGTGCGCTCTCTATCTATCTGCCTCTCTCTCGCTCATGCTGGTTACATAAATACTGGTAGAAGAAGAAGAGGAGGAGGCAGCAGAAACCGAAATACAAATTCAATTAACACCTGAAAACGAAAAGCCAACTGGAACACGCCTGATTGGAAAATAGAAAACATGTGCTTGGTTTTTTAAATCATCTTTATTTTTCCATCTCCCTTTTAAATGTTATCGAAAAGTTCCTTGAAAGAAGGAATGTGTAAAAGGCGAAAAGAACCAGAACGAGAACACCAAAAAAACGAAATTAACGACGTCACATAAAAGTGTGTCAAAGCAGCAGTTCACGCACACTACTTTGCCCCAATTTGTATCTGTGTGAAGCTTTTGCTCTCTCCCCCTCTCTCTCTCTCTTTTGCTGATAAAACGCAACGCACACAGAGCGTATACATAATTTATATATTTATTTAAATGTTTTTCGTTTGCCTGTTTTGAACAACGAGTTTTTCTCGTTATTCTAAGGCTGTCCCTCTTTTTTCTCTCATTTTCTCTCCTTTTTGCTCTTATTAAACATATGGCATTGCTCAATTATTATGTCATAAACATTTTGAATGGCAAAATTGCGATAGAAGTTCAATTTGTTCAAGGCAATATGGGCTTGCAAGCTTTTTTGCTTTTGGCACAGGAAATGCAAAAGTTGTCGTTGTGTGCAGGAACGTGCAGCAATTTTCCTACGTTTGCATGAAAAACCTAGTGCCCTATTAAGCCAAACGAGAGAGAAAAGCCCAGCGAGAGAGAGAGCAAAGTTTTCCCGCACTCAAATTTAAAAATCAATGTTGAAAATGCGCGCAAAGCGGACAAAGAAAACACGCACGAACACAAACAACTAATACTCCATCTAATAAGAAATGTGATCGGACGGGCACGTGTACGTGGCACACAGATACAAAAGAGAGTGTCGCAGAGCGAGATAACCAGAGTGGATTCATATAATCGGGAAAAAGAGAGCTTCGTTTCGACTTCCATTCGCTCGCTCAGCTGCTAAAGCAAACTTTGCGTTAGAATACAAAAAAGCACGCTAAGACGAAGACGCGCACGAAAGTTGAACGGAAAAACGGAAAAAGGCAAAGGCGGATGAAGCAGCACAAAAAGAGAGGCGTAAGCAAGCGCTAAATTTTAAAAAAAATTATATATAAAAAAACTAAGCGCTAAGCCTCCAGATTCGCGGAAATATTAATCTAATCTAGAGTGTGCCTGTGTGTGTGTTTGTTTAAAATCCAAGCAACAACAACAACAAATCAGCAGAACAACACAAACAAAGTATAAATCCATTATAAAAAAAACCCCTCATCAAATGCAGGATCCATTACCACAACAACAAAAACAACTGTCGCGTCTCCAAATGAAACAATAATTGAATAATATAAATTAACCAATAACGAAAAATAAAAAAACAAGCAAAGCGAATAACGAGTAAAAAGTTAAAAGTAAGCCTGTCGAGGAGATTTAAAGTACCATATATAGTTCTTCTTATCTATACCCACACTCAATTAATTGCAGCTGAATGCACGACTCCTTGCAGAAAGGTGAATATATTTCAAACTAGTCATAAGATTTCGGCTTAAGCTTAGTTTAGCATAAGTAGGGACTGTCCAGGGGTAAAAAATGTGGTTCTCTACTTTTTGAAAGATTTACACAGCCAGAATTCGCCAATTCTACAGAACAGGATACATTTTTTGGACTATTTTTCGCTTTTTTTAATGGATTTTATACTGCAGACTGACTTCTATAGCTTACAACTCAAAAATAAAACTTCAAAATACATTAGGCAAAAGCTTAAAATACATTAGGCAAAAGCTTAAATAGTTGGGATTTTTTCGGTTTGAGCCCAAGAATATGAAGAATATTTTTTTAAGCTCGTGTGGAAATTAAAGGCTTAAAATTATGATTTCTCAAACAAATATTTCTGTTGACTCATTAAAAATTCTAGTAATAGAAGTCGAGATTATAAACTTCCCAAGTTTCGTAAAAATTTAATGTGTGGAATGCATAAAATTCGACCGATAGAAGTATGAGTTATAGAAGTTCGACTGTATTAAACGATTTCCCATTTTGCGCAACCAAATGAAATTGCTTTGGAGCATATTTACGAGTGTGGTGAATGGCTATATTCATACATGGTGGTATGAATATGTACTACTGATTGCCCGATCTCTCTCTTGTCCTCCTATATCTCTCGTTCGTTCTCTCCATCTGGCATGCTAATCAAAGTCGTAGCTCATCTCCACCTCCACCTCCCCTCCCCATCCCGCCCCTACATTCCGCCCTTTGCGTTTATCTGCTCATCAATTTGCTCGTTTCATAGCCTAACCCGACACTTGATTCTAGTTTTTTTCCCCAGCTGCTGTTAAATGCAAATAGGCATTAAATTGTCCGCTTGTCTGTCGTTTCGTTTCATTTGCATTCACACCGCCGACCTCTCCCACTTCCACGCCCCCCCGCACACCACCGCCCCCGTTGCGCAATTTGGTGGGGCAGCTCGTATGTGGGTTAAACTGCTGCTACGGCTGCTGTTGCTGCACCACTGCCAAAGCTACAGAAAACAGAAACAGAAAAAGGAGGTGGAGATGGAGGTGAAGAAGGAGGTGCTGTGCACATAGAGAAAATTATTTTTGTTTTAGGAAACAACTCTTTATGTTTAGGTATTAAACTAATACAAGAATATTATAGGTAAACGGTGAAATTAAATATTTAAATTTTGTAAAACTTACAATGATTCAATTTTGATTTCCCTATTTTGATCAGCTGTTTAAAAAAGTTTACAAGTAAAATGAAACACAAATTCAAATCCTTGAATTTCTTTTTGAGCATAATTCAATTTTTGTATATTTAGAATCCGGACAAAATCGGTTTCAGTAGTCCCCGTGTGGATCTTCTAGTATCAGGTCCATAATTAGCCATTTTTTCTCAGTGCACCAGTTGCAGGGGGACAAAATAACTGGGGAAAATTAACCAAAACGAAACGAGAAAAGGTTTATGTAAACAAGCACACACACTGGCCTACACACACTTACCCACACAGCCGCACAACGCCGTGTTCATGCAAAAGGCACGAAACTGCTGTTAACCTATTTGCCGTAATGGTTACGGCGGTGATTTCGACCCGGAGACTCTCTCGGCTCGGCTAATAAGCCGAGAGTCCGAGCCCCATTTTCGAGTCGAGTCGATTAAGGGCCCCCGAACAAAACTGAAGTGCAGAACTGCTAACTTGGCGGTAAACTAAAGTGCCCTGATGTTCTAGGAAATTTTCAAAGCCTTCGTAATTGCCTCGCAAAAAATGGTTCAATGAATCGCTTGAGGATCAGAGACCGCGACGCAGTAATTTTAAAGGGGTTGAAAATATGTGGTCACCACAAGTTTTCCACAAGGAAGCTGGCAAACGAACCAATGCGTATGGAGTTTCTATTATTTCGGGGTGTCCTATTATCATTTTCTCTGGGCATTGAAATGGGGTTCCCATTCTATACTGCGCATTCTATGGAAACTACATTTTTATACAGTCTGGGACATTGGAATATAACCAGTAAAGCAGCTTTCAAAAGGCTATTTCAGCTTGTGATTCTATTAAAACAAGCTTAAAAATTAACATTATAAAAATTATTTTTAGAACATTGTGCACTTTTTTAATGTTCTTTTTTATATTCCATCAGAAACAAATAACGATTACCAGTCTTTTTAATGACCAAAAAATCCCCTTTTCTACAAAACTTGTTTTTGTTTCCAAATGAATTTTGTGTATCTTCTTTGTACAATACGTTTGATTAATTAAAGCTTAAAGAATGTTTATGAGCGTCATAACAAATGAGCTCTAAGCTGCACTTATATTATTACAAAGTTTGATGCTCAATTTTAATGATCATATACTCTTCGATAAGCAGAATCTCTTCAAATTTCCATTAATTCCATTATTCAGCTAATGGGGTCAGACCTGTTGCTTGGCTTCTGATGATGTCTAATCCACCTGGAAAAATAAGACCCCCTCTCCAACTCCTTGACCTTGTCGTGCCATTCCCATACATATTCATCGAATTTTTAATTGGCAAACTATCGACTAGGCTGTAATTGCAGTCACAGTTAATTGGCTGCATCAATTGAAAGCTAGTCGAGTAAAAACAGCAAACGGCGAGCAGCGATTACAATCACACATCCATCGACTTTGACGCCGTTCAAGTTCACAGAACGTCATCGAATGAAAACAAAAAAGCTGCCATAACAAATACTTGCATTTGTAATTATGGAAAAAATACAAGTATTTTCACTCGTTCGTCTTCACTGAGCGTTCAATTGAATTACTGTTAATGAAATGAGTGTCTCTGCCAGAGTGACGTAACAATTTCTTAGCAGCAGAATGTGCAAAGCAAGGGAAAACAGAAACAAGCCATCAGCAATAAGTGAAAACCAAGGAGGGCTGAACAATAACAATAAGCAATAATCTTGAAGAATTTCTGCCAAGCAAAATACTTAATAGCCATAATAAGAATCGGTGAAAGAGAGGCAAAATGGTCGTGGAAAGAGAGGGCAAATGTAGAATGTAGGTCTGGCAATACATTTTGCAGGTGAGGGTAGCAAAACGATGTGCATTTCTCAAGCGAAACCGTGCTGTCGTCGCCAGGGATGCGATGTATCTATAGATACCTATGGGTAGTCCCGTAGCAAGTTGTTTTTTGTTTGCCTAGGTACTTGTGTTCAGCTACACAACCTAGCTACAAGGAATTCCCAACAAGTACCGGTACAAATTTTTAATTTAAAAATATAGTCGAACTTAATTAACTTGAACCAGTTTAACAAATAGTTATTGCGTAGGTTGTTTTTTAGTCCCAGAAAAGAAAGTGTGAATAAAATATTAAATTGGGGTCACCAAACTTTAAGTTCTGTTAATCATAACATGGCAAAATAATAAATAACCTTCTGAAACTGATCTATCACAACTGATCATCACAAACTTTGAAATCGGGTCATCTATTATACCCAGCAGTAGGTCCCTAAGAATTTGTGTATCTTATGAATTCACTAGATCTATTTATTGGCATGGGCTTGGATAATAACAAAGATATCTTTCGCATCACTGGTTCTGCCTCATGTTGCTGCCGTGCTGTTGCTGGTGTAGCTGCAACATACATGTAGGCTTAAGGGTGGAAGGGCCGAAAAGTCAGGGGTGGGGCGGTTGGAGGGCCTGCGAATGAATTACATTGTCGCCTGCCAGCATCGATTCTGGCTAAATTGGGACGCTGTTGGTCGCCGTCTCTTGTTTCGCCCTCTCTTTCTGCCGCTCTTTTGCCATCTCCCTCGGCCATGCTGGCTGCCAAAAGAGCTCTTCTGCCTTAGCTGCAAGCTGAAAACCGTTGTTGGCCTGCCCAAGTGCAGTGGAAGTACAAAAGCTGTCGCCTGGCCCGCCGACAACTGGGGCAATTTTTAATTAAAATGCCAAAAATAAAGCACAACGACAAATATTTGTTTCATTGTCAGCTAGGGTTGTCAAGTAATTTGATTTAATATATCTTCTTGACTTGTGCCATATTGAAAATGAAAAGTAATCACAGATGTGGGGAAAATGCTGCCAACAACTTGACTCGAGGCCAAGAAACAAGATATTCCATTAACAGATATATATTTTCCTTAAATTAGAATCTTCATTTAAAAGCATTTTGTAAAAGGAAAAATTATGAAACGTAGAGTTGGTTAATTAAGTCTAAATTTATATAAATAAATGGACAAAATAAATGTTTCTAAGAATTTAAAAAATATATATTTTCAATTAGGCAAAACATGTTTAAAAATATTCAATTAACAAAACCTTGGTCATTATTTGTTACATAAAATATCTTCCCAGTTGAATTAAATATAATTTTATTATTCGATTGTTTAGTAGCTTACGAGTAATTCAGGTATTTTGTATCCTTCCTAACCAATCTCCAATTGAGCCATTAATTATTTTAAGATTTTCCGATTTTCCCATTTCTGGCAAAGTGGTTTTAGGATGGGGAACCCATTGACACGTTTATGGCAGCTATCCAGGCTACCGTACACCGTAACACCAGGTCATAACACTCGAGCATGCCTGAGTGCCCGAGGGAGGAATTTCGGGTGGAAGGGGAGGGGGAGGGAGAGGGGTTGCCACCCATCGACCTGCTCACTTGTTTACTTCGACTTCGACTTCGACTTGCCATAAGTTCTTTGTGTTTGAGTTAGTCTTTGGTGGCTGTTGCTGCCGCTCGGCTGTCGTGTTGCCATTTGACTGCCTTCGCCTTTATTTATGGATAATTCATAGACGCACCTTGGCTGAGGCACCTGCAAACACGAATTCGATTTGATTGGAATCGGTGCTGCTGCCAGCTAGCCCCCCTTCTCCCCCCCCCAACCTATTGACGAGAGACCTAGCGACATAGTTTCGCAGTTTGGCTTCGCTGCCCCCAAGTAATTTACATATAGACTCACACCGATATACAGATACAAGCTGCATGTCTGCCATACGCTTCATTGTTGTTGTTGCTGCCGTCTCTTGGCCTAATTGTGAGCTTTTGATTTT